GCAGTGCAAGTTAAAGCTGTGTAAATGTTTTTGATAGTAAATAACTGCGCTCGCCCCAACGGTCGCACCGTAGAACATATTAGCGAGCGCAGCGAGCGTCGCGAAGCGAGCTCAATAGACTAACGTGTAAGAACAGAGGAAATTCGGAATGAAATCTGTACATACGTCAGGCAAATTTCTCTGTGCAACATTCCCAGAATTCCTGCACTACCCAATGTCCTTTGCGCGAATAAATCAAAAATAGTAAAAAAAAAAAGGAACATTGTTTCTTACCGAGAACTTAACGAAATGATTTTGCCTTGCCTTATTCAAAAAAATACCCCCATGCCACAACACTGGCCTTCACCTTGCCCTTCGGAAATGATACATATGACGTCACTGGAAACTTACGAATTTTGACGATATGCTAATTAAGTCATGTCGGTTGCTTCCGTGAAATAGATAAATAAATAAACAATAACCTAAAGCATAAAAAGCTTTCAGTTTGTAGAAATCTTTCAAAGAAACAAAAAATAACTCTGCAATGTTTTTCGACCAAAATTGTGCTAGGTCTATAGTTTAAACCAGACGCTCGGCCGTTTCCGTAGGCTCCGACGAGCTCCGTGACGTCGTGTGACGTCACAGTTAGACGAGATGTCTCGTGCGACTTGATGTTTGAAGTGGCTGATCAATTTTTTAAGTGTTTTGATGGTACAACTGCGCTCGCCTCAACGGTCACACCGTAAAACATATTATGTTCAAGTAGGTGACGTTTCCTATGACCTTTAAGTAGAATAGAATAAATAATTGTGATAAAACAAATGAAAAAAAATATATTTTCTTATGAAGGATATTTATCATACCCCGCTTGAAAAGCAAGTGGTATGTACTATGTAGTGACGGGGTGTCCGTCCGTAAATCCGTCCGTTTAGCTGCCTGTACGTCTCCGTCTGTTAAGCTTTCGGATACCCATCTCTTATCCGCAACTCCTCTTATACCACTGAATGAAATTGTCACTGAATCTTTGTTATATAGTGCCATTGTGCACCTGCTCTTTTACTTTGTGATCGGATACATATGTTGGGTTTCCCATAGCAAAACACTGCCATTCTTTCTAGGATATTGAAGATTACCCATCTCTTATCTGCATCTCTATCTTTACCACTGAATAAAATTTAATAATAATTTTACAGATTCTTTATTACATTATAATGCCATTGTACACCTTTTTTACTTTTTAATCGGACACTTATTTTGGGTCTCCCAGAACAAAGCATGGACTTTTTCCATTATAATCATATGGGAGACAGGTGTCAAAATTTAGTGATCTCAGTTCTCAAGGTACCTATAGTTATAGTTAGAATAACCTAACTGTGTCTCGGTACAAGCCCTCACCACAGTTAGAATACGTCCCATATACTTGCAATGTAGCAAATCGGAGCGGATCCGCTCCGAAACGATTTTGAAGAATATAAAATGATTTACACTGGGAATAACTACCAAAATAATCAAAACAAATCTTTTTGAGATTGCTTATTCCTTTTATCCCAAAAAATAATCCATAAAAAGAGGAAAATCCAATTAATTTTCTCAACGTTTTTCTCTCGATTCAAATTACTTGCCATGTTTACATTCAGAACTCTCTAGATTGTTCCTAGTAAATGCACTATGCGAGTTATCGCCCGTGTTTCTTTTTGCTACATTACGAATACACGGAACGAATTCTATCGTTAAACCGGGTCCGTAGAACAATATCATTTTACCGATAAAACATTCTATCTACTATAGTTATACCCCCGCTTGAAAAGCCGGAGGGTAAGTGATCGGGATTTCTGTCCGTCCGTCTGTACACCCGTCTGTTACACTTGGGGGTACCCATCTCTTATCTGCAACTCCTCTCTTACTACTGAATGGAAGACTTTAATGAGACTTTCGCAGTATCTTTGTCACATAGTGCCATTGGGCACCTCTTATTTTACTTTTTGATCGGACACATATTTATGGTTTCTAATCTCAAAACATGAACATGGCTATTTTTTTTTTTTTATAATAGACCCTTTTCCTTTGACATATTTTCCCTAGGAGTTATTCCCCTTGGCCGCCATATTGTAGGGCAACAGTCCCAGATCCCTTCATTATTCAACCAAGTTCAACTTGTTATACTGGTTACGGAGGTAAAGATAACACTATTTTTCTTATGAATATAGGTTTGTTAAAGCCTCTATTAATTCATGGCATTAATTCATAATTTTAAGATTATGATTTTTCCCCCCATATATTTGTTGCATGCATGTTTAAAATTGGTTGCTTAAAGAGGTAAATTCACTACTTTTCCCTTCAAGATGGCGGCTAAGGGGAATAACTCCTAGGAAAAGGGTCTATATCGAAGGGTACCCGTTTCTTATTCGCAACTCCTCCTATACCACTGAATAAAATTAAATTATACTTTCATAAATTCTTTATTAAATAATGCCATCATGCACCTGTTATTTAATTTTTGATCTGACACTTATTACGGGTCCTCCGGTGCAAAACATGGACTTTGTCATTGTAACCATGTGGGAGGCGCGGCGGGTATCATCTAGTGAGCTTATTGTTCACAATACCAATACAATACTAGTTTGATTTATTTTTCTTTATTCCATTCATTAACTTAATCAATCATATATAGATTTAACTTGATTTTTTTTTTCAGTAAATCATTTTTCATATAGTCTTAAATCTGAATAAAATCCGCTCACATAGATCGCTACACAAGGTTGTGCAGCGATCTATGTGAGCGGATCAAAGGATCTGGTTTCATCAGATTGGTATTTTCTTCAGCTTTTAGCTTGCATTTGTAAACAGTTCACAAGTATATGTGTTGCTTTATTTAAAAAGGGTGAGGAAAATGGGCTAAAGTCTGCAATATTGAGTTTCTGCTCTCAGTCATGTTGCCAGATTTCTTTTGTGATATCACATGTTCTGAAGTTTGAATTTAACAGGGGGAAGTAAATACATGTATTTAAATTGCATGACATATTTAATATATATTGATATATTTAAGGAGAGGAACTCATAAGTTGAAAGAACTTGTTTCCAATCCTTTTGATTTATTCCATAAAATATGTTGAAAACAAATACAAAATTTAGATTACGACAACTAGATAACAGTAATTATTTAAGGTACGAAATCTCAGACACTGCTTTTAATTTTGTATGTTAGTACATTCTGATCTTCACGTTTATTTTTTTTATGCGCCCGAATCGAAAGATCCGAGGCGTATATTGTTTTTGTCCTGTCTGTCTGTCTGTCTGTTTGTCTGTTTGTCTGCAAACTTAACCTTCGCCATAACTTTTGAACCATTAATGAAGGAGACTTCATATTTGGTATGCATACTCCCCTAATTAAGCTCTTTCAAATGACACCAGGGTCAATGACCTTGTGACCTTGATTGTGACCTATATGCTAAAAATAATTTTATTTCTGCAAACTTTAACCTTCATCATAACTTTTGAACCATAAAGGATAGAGACTTTATATTTAGTATGCATACACCACTGATTACTCTCTTTAAAATGACACCATGGTCAATGACCTTGTGACCTTGACTGTGACCAATATGCTAAATATAGCTTTTTTGTTGGCAAACTTTAACCTTCACCATAACTTTTGAACGAAGAAAGATAGAGACCTAATGTTTGACATGCATACTCCACCAATTAAGCCCTTTCACATGTCACCAAGGTTACCTTGACTGTGTTCTATATGCTAAAAATAGCTTTTTCGAACCTTCACATAACTTTTGACCACGAGAAATAGAAACTTCATTTTGGTATGCATACTTCACTTATCAAGTTCTTTCAAATGACACCAAGATCAATGACCTTGTGACCTTGAATGTGACCTATAACCTAAAATGTTTTTTTATTATTTGTTGCCGCCGGGCGCATCGTGTTTCACAAACACATCTTGTTTTATAATATGTTTAATTGTTTATTTGTTAATTGGCGGTATAATTAATATCTGCCGTTGATCTTAGTCTTCATGATAACCAAACTTTTACGCGAGAAGAAATTCATTTCCAAATGTTTGTTAAAAATGTTTTTTTTTTCCAAAATATTTTGTTGCATTATCATTTAACATTCAAAGAGAAACAAATTGAATATTCAGTGATTCAATTTTCTTCAATTTTGAGAACGATTAGTTTTTGTTTTTTACATTGACACAAATATTTCAATGTGAAACTTAGTTCCCCAAAGCGGTACCAACCTATCTTCGGAAGCTATGTTTTCAACTATTTAGAATCTAAAAAAAAAAAAAAACATCTGAACGTTCCTCTAATGTTTCAGCTTTGCTGGTCCCGTGATTTTTAAAAAGATTGATAAGAATTTTGTTAAATTTTACATATAGTAATGATACATTCGTATAATTTAACTTTAATTACCTTTTGTGGCTCCATCCTTTTCATTGGACCATGACTTGAGCAATTTAGTTCATGTATTAGTATTACCACTTCCTCAAAATGTCTAATTTCCCATTTTGGAAAGTTTTTTTTAATTACTCCACCCTGTTTTTGCTAAGTATTATCTATTATCTCCCCTTGGATGAATACTTGGTACTTTAATTTGATAATTAAGAATCCCTTTTACCTAGGATAATTTCAAAGAAATTTTTGATCGGAATTGGCTACGTGGTTGTTGAGATGATGAGTTTCCTGTCGGGCAGACGCCGGACAGCAAATGATTAGAAAAGCTCATTTGCATGAGACATCGAACATCTTATTTTCTCGTTGTACGTCAGCGGTGAGAGTACATGTCATACTTATACATAATTATACAGAAATGTTTTTTTCTTATCCTTTTGTAGTTACTGTAATATACAACTTGGCTTCATTTTCGAATTTGTACGATTCGGCTTCGTTGTACGTATTATACGTTATACGTATACATAACCTCCAAGACAGTTGTATATTAATGACGTATAAATCTGCATGTTGTAAAATGGTATTTATTAAGTTAATTAGATCTTTCCACTCTTCTTTGAAAATCTATCAAATCCTCCAAATTTTCAAGCTATTTTGGTTGCTAGTCTCTCCCTTGGACCACTCCTCTAGATAAAATAGCGCCCTCTTCTGAGAGAAGTAACGCAGGCCAAACGACATAGTCGACGTAATGTCCGCTCCGAGTATAGAATGTAAAACGACTCGTATCAACTAGACTGCCTTGTGGGATCCGCCACTCCAAAACTAAAGGTGGATGATGGACGTTCATGAACCAACAGAGCTCTGTACACCTATCGAAGAATCGGACGACTTGTTTTGGGTACGACTTAAGATTGGTCAAAATATTTCGGCATGTCTGCAAAAATAAAACAAATGACAATTTCAACATAATTTTCTTTGGCAAAAATATATGAATAAAAGTTCCAAAGATTAACTGCTGATTTATGAAAAAAAAAATTGTTAGCCAGCATTATCTTGGTCTTTGAATTGTTTTATATGGAATCCTTTTCATTACCTTCTTCATTTCTGGTAGATCCTCCAGAACCCGCTCACGCTGTAATTCTATGATCTGGATTGGAACTTCCAGAAGGTTGTCTGGATTTAGTAATCCGCCTACCAGTTTACTGTCACGGTGGAGCTGACGTCTTTGTTTCTCAGCCATATCTTTACACTTCAAGTAAATATTCTAAAACAAAGCTTCAACATGTTCAAAGTCATCAGCAATGTAAGTGGGAAGACTCTTCATTGAATATGAAAGAACGACTTTTATTCAGAGTTTGTATGCTTAAAACACCAAAGAAGTGTCATGTAGTTAATTTTGAATTTACTCGGTAGCAGTAAATACAAAATTAACGGCATGATAGCAGTCAAATCAATGATTGCTACTGCCTCTGGCAGAGCTGCTATTTCAAATTCCAAACTTGGCATTTGAACTTGTCTTTTCATCAAAGCAACAGAAGAGTCACACAAAAATCTCACCGTCATGCAGCTTAGGAGATCTGCCACCACCTTCCTCTCATTAAATACTTTGGAGATCATAGATTCGTAGGCGAGAATCCATTCATTGTTGTACAGTTCGGACAGTTGGAGGGTTAGAGCTGTAGGTCTGATCAGGTCACTGAGGTCGGCCATGAACGTCTGTGTGTCTCCATTGTCGTCCTCTCCAACATGACTGTTGACGAGCCGTCCTAACCTACAAAAGCATCCATAAATGTCGCTATCCTTACCATACATGTTTTGCTTACTTGTACCAATTAGGCTAAACTTGGTAAGCATCTGGGATATCGTTTTTTTTTTAAATCAACAACCTTTACCTAATAGAAACTTGCAAGTTACCTAATTTATAGAGAAAAGAAAACATAAACACGGGGATAAATGTTCGCTGTTATTTAGAAAAAACATGTATTTGTTGCAAAATTACTAGTTATACTAAAGTTTTGTTAAGTACATCTAAATTCATTCCTGAATTAGAATGGAAATCATTCCAGCCTATTGTCCAGTTCATTTCCCTCTACTTTCTTACTATATTTTTTATGGAGAAGATCGTAATTTCCTTATTGATGACTTTAAAGTACCTGTTGAGTAAGTATTTGCGTTCTGTTTCCAGTGTTTGGACTAGTTTCCACAGCCCCTGAACCTGGCTCCTCAACTCCAACAGTTCCTTCTCTTCTGCCTCCTTTCTAGGTGTCTCCGCCATCTTTTCTTTCATCAGTCTATTCACCTCTGCTTGTAGATAATCATTCTGTTTGACCAGGTGCGAGTTCTGCTCCTGAAGATTAGCAATTGTGTTTTGGAGATGCTTTTCGTACTCTTTATGTTTTTTCTTGTGAGCGTTATTATTCGTGGTCTTCAATGAGCTAAAATCGCTGAAGCTTGCTCTTAACATTTTATTTCCTTCTTGAGAATCCATTGACTTCTCCATTTTTGAGGTGCTATTTGTTTCCTGAATTTTTAAAAGAGCTTTTAAATCTTTCGTTTTGTCTCGGGTCTGGGTTCTTGGAGATACCTTGTTTTCTGATAAAAGCGGCTTCTCCTTTGTACCTCTTTTCAAGGGGAGTATGAGAACTTCACTCTCAGCTATTTCTAAGGACTGTTTTCTTCTTATCTCTCTAGGAGTTGAATCTTTTTCCATTCTTGAGGATACTTCTTCGATTGGAAAAAGGGATTTGTAAGCGTTGTCTAATTCTCTGGACAGTAGTAATCCACTTCTTAAATCTTCATGTGAATCCTCTGTCGTCTGCGTTGTGTCTTCTGTCGTCTGCGAGTCGGTTTCCTGTAGCTCTCTAATGTTTCTGTTGGCCGATTCTAAAAGCACCTGTTCATAGATTTTAAATTAATCAAGTGCTTTAAAATTTTTACAAGTGGTATAATCAATTTTAGCGGCAAACCATCTTTGCCTGTAATGATAAATTTCCGGAAGATAAATTTAGACTAATTTAAGCACACGTATGTCTTTTAAATGAAAATTTTTGAGTAATTAATACATGTATTAAGCTTTTTACCGACAATCTCATTTGCTCAGCGTTCAAAGTGTGAACTTGCTTCTTTAAAATTTTGTTTTCTTTTTGAAGATTATTCCATGTAGGTAAATGTGAAAATGACACGTCTACTGGAAGCTAAAAATTAAGAAAGAACACTACAGAATACTAGGAAAACAGAATATCATAGTATTGGCTTGGTGATATTGACGGATAAAAATCTCACATTTAAGTTCCATTTATTTTTACAGTCATTACTAATCAGAGACACCAAAAACTTTCAAAAACCGATCATTTAAACCAATAGTCCACCGAAACATGGCTGAAAAATTGTCGACTCGGCGTTAAACAATATTCAATCAATCATTATTTACTAACCAACTTAATTAAAAATTGAAATTTCTGTCTCTAGCAAGTCTTACATTTTCTGCTCTCTTCACGGCAAACTCTAGCAGTTCTATAACTATACCACAGTATCTCCGTTTTTCTGTCTCCGTGATGTCGGGGTAGGGGGCGTCTACTTTCAGCATAAGAGATTCCAGGTCACAGCGCAGGCGCTGTAACTTGTTAGTAAATGTTTTTTTCTCGTCTGCGTGCGTCGTGCTTACAAACATTTTGCAACTAGAAAAATAACAGAGATTTGAAGATTTAAATACAAATCGGTTTTGAAAGAGGGGGACCCTCACATTAAAAAATGTGAAAATTTGATTAGCAATATTGACTAATTTTGTGTGAAGTGACGGCAATGGTATTCATGAATTTTTAATATTTCTTCATTGAAGCCTAATATTCTTGAAAATACTTAACATCTTTTATCTTACCTCAAAAAAGGAAAAGACGTTGCTCTGCTCACTGCATTTGAAAGTTCATGAGTGAATGCTCTCAAGCATGTTTTTGCAAACAATAGAAATTTATGACTTATTTTGATTGTGTAATGATCTGGAATAATAACTTTCATTAAAGATTACCTTGCTAAATTAAAAGGACATGCAACGCTCCGCGCTTTGTTAAAGAAGGTGTTTTCTTTTTAAATATATATAATGATGATAGCTTAGTAGAATAATTATTTGAACCAGCCGACGTCCTTATTTTACACCAAAATGTTATGAAGCATCAAATTTACATAAACTCAAATAAACGAAGATATCTTTGATTATTGGATGCATGATATCTATCGAAGAAATATCTACATGTATTTGCATATTTATTTATATGCAACAATCTCATCGAAGATTTATTCATATATGTAATTAATTTAATTCCTGTAAATACATGTATTTTGCTCTGTGTATTAATTTATTTGTTGATTTTAATATTAAAATTGCCGAATTGATGTGGGCAATAATTGAATGTTGTTCATTCTTTTTTAAGTAAGGCACAATGCATGACTAACTCGCTATTACTGGTAAACTGCTTTCTTCAATCGATTCATTACATGCATCAATTCAATTTTTAGAGGATCACATTAATTTTAACAACTTTAATATATATATATATATATAATTTATCATAAGTCTCATTAATTGAATTAATGCGAGCGTCAAATCAATTCTTGTTCCCATCAATAAATTTTTATCACTATTTTATTTACGAGAACTTTATGTACACCGTAAGATTTTATAGAGCAGTAACCCCCAATTCATGAAAATTTTGTCTGCGTAGTTTATATAGAGTAAATGTCAATCTCTCGAAAACTGGTAAACTGCAAAATTGAGTTTAAGAGCGCTGTGAATCATGAAAATATTGCTCTCACAGATTCGATTGGTGCGCATCTGATTGCATTGAGAACAATAACTGATTGATGTTTGAAAATCAATTAGATCATACATTTAATATACTTCATATGATCAAAGGTATCCTGAATTCCATGTAATCGAGATAATGTTATTTTGGCGCTTCATGAATACCCTGCCATACCCTCCTGCTCTTAATAATCCTTGGAATATTAAACATTATTTTAAAAATCATTATTATACCCTTTCTTTGAAAAAACAGGAGGGTATGCAGACTGGTGTATGTATGGATCGGGATGTCTGTCTATCTGTACCTCCGTCTGTTATGCTTTGGGGTACCCATCTCTTATTCGCAACTCCTTTTATACCACTGAATGACAGTTAATGAGACTTTCATAGAATCTTTTTTACATAGTACCATTGTGGCCTCATATTTTACTTTTTGATCCGACACATATTTTTGGTTTCCCATTGCAAAACATGGACTCTGCCATTACTTCTATGAGGGGTACCCATCTCTTATTCACAACTCCTCTTATACCACTAAATAAAATTTAATGATACGTTCTCAGAATCTTTACTACATTATGCAATTGTGCACTTTCTATTTTCCTTTTTGATCCGACACATATTTCAGGTCTCCAAGAGCAAAACATGGACATTTCCATTATAATCATATGGGAGACGGCGGGCTTCATCCGTAACCCCTCTTATACCACTGAATAACATTTAATGAGGCTCTCACAGATTCGTAAACATAGACATAAATGTCATTCAGTTGTAGAAGAGGAGTTGTGGATAAGAGATGGGTACCCCAAAGCGTAACAGACGGATGGCAGAGTCCATGTTTTGCTCTTAAGATGCGGAATAATTGTCAGATCAAAAGTAGGTGCACAATAGCAATAAGTGGTAAAGAATTTGAGAGTATCATTAAATTTTATTCAGTGCTATGGGAGGAATTGCGGAAAAGAGATGGGTACCCTTTAATATAATAGAAAGAGTACCAGTGTCCATGTTGTGCTATAGGAAACCCAAAATGTGTGTTGGATCAAATGTGTCAGATAAGAGATGGGTACCCCAAAGAGTAACGGACGGATGTAAGTACAGACAGACGGACGGACAGACATCCCGATCACTATATACCCTCCCACTTTTCAAGCGTGGGGTATAAACAGCTATTTCTGTAGTGGTTGAATTGTTGGTCCTATTCCATACAATAAAAAAGACTTGAAAAACAAAGACGTGCTAGTATCATTTATTCAAGTGTAACTTTAATTACAGCTATAGTATTGTTGACTCGGTTACCAATCCATAGGTTCCCTTTTGTGTCAAAACAAATTGATAATGGTCCCTCCACCCCGTGGTCTTCCGTTGAAATTAATGCCAGCTGTTTTCCGTCTGATTCAAGAATGTGAATTGCATCGCTCCATCCATCAAGGATATAAATCCTTCCTGCGACATCTGTGGCAATCCCTCGCGGATAAAACCTAGATCCACTCCCCGAGTATGAAAATTTGTGCTTTCCACTTCTGTCAGTAACGATTAAACACTCACCGTTCCAATCGGACACGCAAACATCTCTGTTTATGTTTTCGGTTATATAACAGGGATTGCGATAAAGATTAACACCATTGGCATCTTTTTGGATATCGCACATTTCTCTCCCCTTTGCATCGTATCGTGCGACCTTTGCATCGTGTTTGAAGTACATTCCGATCAGAATATCTCCATTTCTTGCGGAACAGTGAAGAGTGGTCGGGGTCCATTTCCCTGTGTTGATGAGAAGAATCGTTTTCTTTTCCTGTGTGACTTTGTAAATCTGGTGTTTGGGGAGATCTATGATTAACAGATCTTTTTCTGTAGTAACCGCATGGCAGCCATAACCACTACTCACCATAACAAATTTCTCATTCACCATCTCGCCTCTCAAATTTGCCAGAACTAAACTAGAGTTGTTGTCACTGAAAAAAGCCATTCCATCCCTTAAATAAGAAATGTGACTAGTGTGAGAGATACCTGATACCTCAAAACTCTTGACTCTCTCCACGACAGGAGTGAATTCGAACTGAATGTGTCCTTTCTTGAGTGCAAGTTCCTTTAAGCGTCTGAGTTCGTTGACGCTTGCAGGCTTTACTGTAACACGCCCGAAGAGATTGCCGACTTCTTCTGGTGTTAAAGAATTAGAATTGTAATTAATTTTGGAGACTAAGGGGTTACAATTCTTGATGGGATCATTTTGCAGACTTGTATAAAAATTGACCATTTCTGCAAATTTACTAGATGTTTTCAGTTTATCATGATACTGAACTGCACTTTGCAGATCCGAGACTTTGCCTTTAATGTAGTTTTCTCTTTGCATATAATCTGCAGTCAACGTAATTTTGATATCGGTTATTACTTTCAAACTTCTTGCCAGGTTTTCATCAAGCAGCTTCTTCGCTTGTTCGGCGTCTGATACTAGCTGAGTCTTTACCTTTTCGATTTCATCTATGAAGTCCATTCGACCCTGTATCGCAAGGTCAAGAGTTTCCTGAGTTTGTGGTATCTGAGAAGAACTCATTACGAATACGCAGCTATCTATCTCTTCTTTCATCGTCTCATAAAACTCTTTTATTTCAATAAACACGTGACTGTTGTGTTTCTCTTTTATACACCGGATGCAGACGGGCACCTTGCATTCCTTACAGCACACTCCGTAGGTCAGGTTGGGGTGAATACTACACACCTCAGAAACCTCATCATTTCGTCCAGAGCTGGTTTTTTCTTCTATCAATGTTATTTTCTCCTCTATCAATCCCTCGACATCCTGACCACCTATTTCTTTACTATCACACACGTATTTCTGACTGTATTTGACCACTTTATGTGAACAATCCTCTTGTTTTTCTTCATTGTGTTCGAGGACACATTCTTTGCAAAGATCCTTGTCACAAGTTTTGCAGAAAAACTGAACATTTTGTTCACAGCAAGAACATCTGATAAAATCTTGCGCAAAAACAATTTCTTTGGCTGCCATTTTGTACTTTCTGCGTTGTGTCTTCTGTCGTCTGCGAGTCGGTTTCCTGTAGCTCTCTAATATTTCTGTTGGCCGATTCTAAAAGCACCTGTTCATAGATTTTAGATTAATCAAGTGCTTAAAACTTTTTACAAGTGGTATTATCAATTTTAGCGCCAAACCATCTTTGCTTGTACTGATAAATTTCCGGAAGATAAATTTAGACTAATTTAAGTACATGTATATATGTCTTTTAAATTGATACTTTTGAGTAATTTATACATGTATTAAACCTTTTACCGACAATCTTATTTGCTCAGAGTTCAAAGTGTGAACTTGCTTCTTTAGAATTTTATTTTCTTTTTGAAGATTATTCCATGTAGGTAAATGTGAAAATGACACGTCTACTGGAAGCTAAGAATTCAGAAAGAACACGACGAAATAAAAGAGAATATAACGTAGCATTGGCTTGTTGAGAAAAATCTCACATTTAAGTTCTATTTTTTATAGTCATTACCAATCAGCAAAATTAAAAATTAAAATTTCTGTCTCTAACAAGTCTTACATTTTCTGCTCTCTTCACGGCAAACTCTAGCAGTTCTATAACTATACCACAGTATCTCCGTTTTTCTGTCTCCTTGATGTCGGGGTAGGGGGCGTCTACTTTCAGCATGAGAGATTCCAGGTCACAGCGCAGGCGCTGTAACTTGTTAGTAAATGTTCTTTTCTCGTCTGCGTGCGTCGTGCTTACAAACCTTTTGCAACTAGAAATGACAGATATTTAAAGATTTGAAAGAGGACGACCTTAGAAATTGTGAAAAATTGATTAAGCAATATTGACTTATTTTGTGTGAAGTGACGGCAATGATATTTATGAATTTCAAAA